AAGTTCCAGCAGCTTGAATCTGTCTGGGTATGAAAGGTTCTTTGTCTAACCACCTTGTCTCACTTTGCATCATGTCTCAGCAACACTACTACTAGTAATTATTATTACTCATGTTCTTCCACCTGTTTTCTGTTGTGTAGCACTTAATACTTTGTGTTTACAGAATAATAATGATAATATGATTCTGACTGATGAGTCACAGCAGCTGTGTGACTCCAGCTCTGACAGGAGACCTGCTCCTCTGAGCTCTGCAGCAGAAATCTTCCTCCAGTGTGTTTGTAGAAATGATAAGAAATACAAAGATCTGACTTGATTCCTCATCAAAGCTAAAAACTCAAAGTTATTTGATCTATGTTTGTGTTTTAGGATGAGATTTGAACATCTTCCTCTGTGTTGTCATGTTTTTCACCGAACGTAACGAAACATAGATAGGACTGTTGACAGTGGGGCCCCTAAGATTCTGCTCAGGGCCCCATCAAGGCGTGGGCTGGCCATGGACCCTTTATTAATCCTAAATAATAGAAAGAAATAGAGACAAGAGATCGACCTGCAGATAGATTAGATCTTTATTGTCTTTTTAAGATTTGACATTAAAACATTATTAATAAAAAGGTTGATGGTTAAACTGTAAAATTGTAAAAACACCCTCAGAATCATTTTTATTATCAGTATCAGAAGACGTTCAGTCCCTGATATCAGCCCCAAAAATCCATGTTGTTCGGGCGCTGGTTTCAAAGTCATCATGTGAGTAATAAAATACATAAAGTGAATGAAGAGGTGAATAAAACCTCAGTGTCACGTGTCAGTTTATCTTCAGCTGCTCCAGATGAAGAATCTGGTTCTGCGTTGGTGAGAGTTGTAAAGAACGTCTCCTCCCTGTAACTAACCTCTCTCTCCTCCTCTGGTTCCTCCAGGTCCTCTGTGGATCTTCGGGTCTGTTCGGAGGCCATGTGTCTCAGCAGCACCCCCCCCACCTGCAGCAGCAGCAGAGGAACCTCTCCCTACACGAGTACATGMGCATCGGGCTGCTGAAGGAGGCCGGCATCTCCGTGCCCGCCGGCATGGTGGCCAGCTCCTCGGAGGAGGCGTACGCCATCGCCAAGCAGATCGGTAAGCTGCTCCGAGCAGATGAGAGTTAAACAAGCTGTCGGGGTTAATGATCGGAAGGAAAATAAAAAGCAAATGAATCAATAAGAGTTCTTGTAGTTTGTCACTGTTCTGTTAACCAACATTAGAGATGCAACGGAAGAATGAACACTGAGCTTCAGGTTCACAGACAACTCAGATTTATAAACCACGTCTCGTTGTGAAGTAACAAACAGTATTTAAGACGTTTTACACTCACTCAGTGTTTGCATTCATTATCTCCACTGTGGCAGCCGCCATCTTGTAATTTGTCCAGCCACAGTTTCATAACAAACCAAAAATAGTTTTTACACGTCTCATAAAAACATGAGAAATCCGAACTTGGTGTTTTGCTCAGTTTGTGAATGTCAAGCTGTGTTGTGTTGTTTTATTGCTGCGTGTTTGTTTGAGCAGTTCTTACTTTCATGAGAACTTTCACTCTTCAGTCTGTTGTGTGTGAGAGCGTGTGCAGCCCCCCTCCAGACATAGATTGAGTTCTGTGTGAAAAGCTGCAGTTTGATCACTGATTCAAACTGAAAGTCATTTAATTTGTAAGTAACTGTAACTGAAATACAAACGAAATGTCTTTTTCTTTGATGGAGCTCCACTATCTTCACTAAACATCACACACACACACACACACACACACACACACACACACACACACACACACACTCAAACAAGCACATCAACAGACAACTAATTAACAAACACACGTCTTCTTCTGTTGTTATTTAACATTTAATCAAAAGGAGAAAGAACTATAATGGAACCATCCTGACACTGACCCAGTCCTGCTGACACACACACATTCACACAGTCTAAATATAGCGTCCTCTCACTTCAGTGGTATCAGTTGACGTAGATATTTCTGCAACATGAAGAAGTTGTAGTGTGACAGGTGACGCTCCACTCCAAAGACAGCGCCCCCTGTCTGTCTCAGCTCGATGGTCCTGCTCCGTATTCAGCCTCCGTCACTGTATCTTCATCTCTTCTCTCACTGACGGACAGTAACTAGTGTCCCCTCTGGTCGTTGATGTCTGACAGTGTTTTATTGAATATGGATCCTGAGTCAAATCCCTCATTGAGTCTCATTCAGTTCAGTTTTCCTCATGTGAGATTCAAAGGTTAGTTCAGATCTGGGATCAGCTGCTGCAGAATGAATCCACATTAATGTTAATGAGGCGAGTCTAATTAAAGCTGACGACTCGTAGCACCGAAAGAAAATGAGCTGCGGCAGCAGAGGATCCGAAACTGTGATGGTTGTGACACAGTGAAATAAAGACTGGAACAATCTGCTCCAGAGCTCTGAGCTTCTTATGTCTCAGTTAACAAAGTGTTTTATGTGTTTGTGTGTTTTCAGGCTCGAAGGACCTGGTGGTGAAAGCTCAGGTTCTGGCCGGGGGCAGAGGGAAGGGGACGTTCGAGGGCGGATTGAAGGGAGGAGTGAGGATCGTCTACTCGTAAGTGACTCAGCGTGTTAGACACAAATCGAATGCAGACAAACATCCGTGAATTATCTGATGCAAGTCACAGCTTCACTCTGCGCGCGTCAGATTTAATAATATCTGAGGGCGTCGTGCAGAAGTGTGATGAAAGGGAATGATCCACGTATAAAACAATTCACACCTGACACATGACAGAGAACATGCTAACACACATGTAGACATGGACAGACATGTTAAAGAGAAAAAGATTCCCCTTCTACCTGAGGCAGGAAAAGAACCATAGACTGTAAATAAAGATGAGAAACAAGACATCTTCTAAAAAAGAAGCCAAATCATCTTGATCACCCCCTGGTGGCTGGCTGCAGTATAGGTCATGAGCCCCGCCTCCTCCATGTTAGCAGATGGGGTCAATGTTTTCAGAGGATGAAATTATAATTCAGTGTTTTACATTGAGAGCCCTAATGCCCCCCCCCCCTTCTTCCTCCTCTTCAGTCCCGAGGAGGCCCGCGACATTTCCTCCCAGATGATTGGTCGAAAGCTTTACACCAAGCAGACCGGGGAGGCGGGTCGAATCTGCAACCAGGTGTTCATCTGTGAGCGCAGGTACCCACGCAGAGAGTACTACTTCGCCATCACCATGGAGAGGTCGTTCCAGGTGAGAGAACACACACACACACACACACGCACACACACACACACACGCACACACACACGTTGTCAGTGATTGGTTGATTGATCTTGATCTAAATCATTGAAGAATTCAACAGATCTGATGATGCAGATAATCAATGCTTAAGATTTTGATTCTTTGTTCCTAAATAAGAAGATTTTCATTCTCTTGGTGTTTTGATATAAAATCAAGTGAAACTAGAAACTGTACATGTTGAATCTGTGATTCTGAGTCGTACCAGCAGGTGGCAGCACAGTCTCAGATTTCATTGCTTCAAAATCAGTGTTAAACATTTTACTTATCCTGAAGATCGTACATGTGAGAGATCCGTCCCAGAGCTGTGGGGGTGTAACCAGTGCTGTGTAGTTTATCTGTGTGAGGATCAATTATTAATAACTGAGAGAATCTTGGACCATAAAAACTACATTGTGATATATTAGTACTTCAGCTTCTTCACTGTGACACTGACCAGACGTCTTTTGGCAACATGTGAACGTCCACAGATTTTCTACCCAACATGCTTCAGTCGCTCTGAGTTTTAAAGTCCTCGTCTCACTCTGTTTCGTCCCACAGGGCCCCGTCCTGATTGGCAGCTCGCAGGGAGGCGTGAACATCGAAGATGTCGCAGCAGAGAATCCAGACGCCATTGTGAAGGAGCCCATCGACATCGTGGAAGGCATCAAGATGGAGCAGGCTGTAAAGGTACAATCAATAACTCACTGGGGAGGAAAAGTATTTTCTAAACAAGACACAGGAACAGTCTCAGGACGGAGGAAGTCAGACGTCTCCCACCTGTCGCTTCCTGCATCGATTCATATTTTACAAAAATGTTGTGGAGTAAAAGTGAAAGTAACTGAAAATACATCTCGTTAAGAACAGATCCATGAACATGTATTTAAGTACAGTAACTAAGTAAATGTACTTTGTTATATCTGGTAAAAAACTGTATTTATCCATCAAAGCACTTTCTGAAGGTGAAACAGTTAATTATGAACATGATCATGATTTCAATCACAACGAAACTCCTGACGGTTGAAACAGACGCGGTGACTCAGAGGAAGTGAACAGACGTGGTCTCATTTCAGGTGGTTGTGTGTGTTCTCCTGTTTGTTTTGTCTTCTCTTCATCTCTGGATATTGAACATGCTGGTTGTCATAGTGAGAGCGGAGCTGGTTGTGTTTGACAGACAGAAGCTGCTCATTCAATGTTTTTGTACAACTCAGTGACGTTTTCTGTTTCCAGTGAAACAGACGAAGCTGCTTTTCTCTCCGGACTCGAGTTACAACCCTGACAACACTTGTGACGCGGTCGTTTCTCTGTAGCTTCATCATCACAGCCACAACTTTCACGTGCACGCAGCCGCTCGACCCGTTCTCGAGATATTGATCGTAGTCGCTCGATCGATTTGTGAAGAGAGTTACCGGTGATTCCTTCTGCCGCAGCGTCCCGATCACCTGCGGCGGTGTGTGATGTCATGTTTTGTGCGGTGCTGCAGGTGGCTCAGAAGATGGGCTTCCCACCGGCGCTGGTGAACAAGGCGGCGGAGAACATGATGAAACTGTACAACCTGTTCATCAAGTACGACGCCTCCATGTTGGAGATCAACCCCATGGTGGAGGACTCTTCTGGCATCGGTACACACACACACACACACACACACAC